CTTTGACCCAGTTTTTTTCCTAGAGATCTTGCTTTTCTTGTTTTAATTACATTTTAAATAGGGAAACTGCATTAACAGGAGCCATTTTTCATTGGGTATAAAATTGTTTTTTTTATAGTTATCTAATGTCAGAGCTGGGAGGAGCCTCAGAACCCAGAATGTCAGAGCTGGGAGGGGTCTGGGAACCCGGAATGTCCGGGTGGGAGGGGCCTGGGAACCCGGAACGTCAGGGCTGGGAGGGGCCTTGGAACCCAGGTCCCTTGCTCTTGTGCCAGGGCTCTTCCTCACCTTCTCCCGGAGGACTGCTGGCTCTCCACTCAGGACTTTGGCTTCTTTTTCAGGATGTTCTGGAGTGGAAGAATGCACGCACATTCCTCTACTGGCGCCTTCGCCGCCTCCTCCTCGAGGACATCGTCAAGAACGAGATCCTGCAGGCCAACGGCGAGCTCAGCCACGTGCACGTCCAGTCGATGCTGCGCCGCTGGTTCATGGAGACCGAGGGCGCAGTGAAGGTTCTCTGCCTTAGCGCCGTGGCCTCGGGTGGCCTGCATCGGCCTTCATGCTTTAGAAGGCTCTCTGCAGGAAGGGAGGCTCCCCGCCACTCTGAGCAGAGTGTGGGGGGGCCGGGCCTTTCCAGGGTCAGGGGGTCTAATCCAGATTGCTCTTGTAGAGCGGGTAGCACGGCCAGCCCTGTGCTCCAGAGAGATGGGCACCTTGCTTCTTACTGATTCTCTTCTCCCTGTTTATCAGCCCCAGTGGGAGCACGGACTAATTCTTTGACCCGGGGGGCAGATGCGTACAGAGAGGGCCCCTGGCGGGCGCCCCACCACAATCAAGGGAGGGGGGAGGGGCAGGTTTTCCACGTAAGCCCGGTGGCTCCCTCGGTGGCCCGGCATGGAGCTTTGGCTGAGGGCGTGAGCCTGGGCCCACCCTTGCTGTGGGGAGGCAGTCATCAGTCTGATCCGCCTGGATGAGCCCTCAGAGGCCTTGGCTCCAAGAGGGCCCAGGGCTGATTGTCTCCGGCACTTCCTCCAGCACCATCACACTGAGTTCTCTGAGGCCTGGGCGCCGACCTTCACTCTGTCCCCTCCTCTAACTCGCCTTCCCTCTCCCCAGGGGTACCTCTGGGACAACAACCAGGTGGTGGTGGAGTGGCTGGAGGAGCACCTTCGGCAGGAGGACGGTCTGCACTCTGCTATCTGGGAGAACGTCAGATGCCTAAAGCGGGACTTTGTCCTCAAGACCATCCGGGGGTGAGCCAGGGCCACGGACAGGGGGGTCCCAGCGGAGGAATGGAGGAGCGGGCTGGCGCCATGGGGCAGTCTGTGAGCCTTTATCCCTCCCCTCCCCCTTCTCCCTCCTCCTCCTCCCCCCTTCTTCCTTCTCCCTCCTCCTCCCCCCCTCTTCCTTCTCCCCTTCTCTCCCCTCTTCCTCCTCTTCTTCCCCTTCCTTCTCTCCTTTCACCCTTCTTCCTCCTCCCCTCTTCCTCCTTTCTCCCCTTCCTCCTCTTCTTCCTCCCCTCCTTTCTCTTCTTTCCTCCCTCTCCTCCTCCTTTTCCTCCCCTTCCTTCCCTTCTTCCCCTCCATTCCTCCTCCTCCCCCACCCCACCTCCCTAGGGGTAAAGTACAGGTGGCTTAAACAGCCTAGCTGCCAGGGTAGTAACCGCTTGGGCCACTGTCTAGCTGTGCCAGTGTGTCAGTGGTCTGCCCAGCCCCTAAGCTGTTGCTCACCTCAGACCGCTGCAGATGTGGCCCAGGTGGGGACAGGGGGGAGGTCTCTTAGCTGGGGTGGTCAGCCCCACATTCCCAATCCTGTCACTTGTTTCCTTCAGCCTGGTTCAGGACAACCCCGAGGTGGCCGTAGACTGTGTGATCCACATGACGCAGCACATCGGCCCCGCAGACAGGGCCCAGATCGCCCATCTCCTGGCCACCATGGAGAGCCCAGGCTCCACCTGACCGGGGGACGCGTGGGGCTGGTCACAGTCCTGCCTGGGAGAAGACGCACCAGCGGCCTGCAGGCCTCCAGCTGAGGCTGTTGGCCACCACTTGGAGCCCTCCACGAGGGTTTGGTGCGTTTCCCCTGGTCTCTCTGCAGGGCTGGAAGAGAAGGCAGCTCCTTCAGCCTCAAAATAAAGGGCATCGGTATGGCGCTTTCATGCAGAGATGTCCGCCCTTCTGCGCACCGGGCAGTCATGGGTTTGTTTTGACTCGAGGCATCTTTGCTGCACGGCCCTGTGGGCCCCAGGCCTGCCAGGGACATGACACCCATCCATAGACTCTTTTATTATTATGAGTCCAGCTCCTGATTAAGGATCCTCCATGGCTGAGGAAAGGGGACAGACCTGGGGACCCAGACCCAAAGGGGGCCGGAGGGAAAGCAGGTATAGCCTGGCTGGCTACCTGCCTGCCCACAAGGGGATCAGGGTGACTTTTTTTTCATTTTTCTAAATGAAGAGGAAAAAAATGTTTTCAGAACAACAAATGAGAAATCACTAGGGACATTAATGGGAAATATTCTTAGTACATAGGGCAGTGATTTTTTAGGAGCAATGAAGTATGATCCTGGCTCTGGGGGCTTTGCATTGTCCGAGATCCCCTTCGTGGGGAGGGGGCAAGGCTGCCAGGTGCTTCCCCTGGGGCTGCTCCCCAGCCTCTCTAGGAAAAGCACAGACACTTTTTGCTTCATCTGAGTGGCTCGGTGCCAGGCTACCTGCTGCTCCCTTGGGGGCTGGCTTGCCTGCTGGACTGGAGCATTGGGAGGAGGGGAGACATGCTCCTTATCTGATGTCTGCCATGATTAGTTGGCATCGCTGCTGTGACCCCCTGACTCTCCTCCACAGAGGAACCTGCTGCTAAGCTGCCTTCCTTACCCCATCAGTGCCTTCTTGCTGGTGGGCCATGTGCCCACCACACACTGCTCACCCGATTCAGAATAGTAATATCTAAAGCCCAGGTGGTTTGGGGGAACATGGCTGTTGCCATAGCTGTTCTGATTTGCTAAGGGGCAGACGGCAGGGTGCCCCTGGAGGAGGAGGATGGAGCCTGGGTTCTGGGCCTCCCTGGCCTATGGGATCCAGAGCTTAGCTTCTCTTAGGTGGTCCAGGAGGCCTGGCAGTGGGTTAAGGACTTGTCACCATGCATGTTGCTGGGCAGCATTTATCAGGGACATATGCCAGGGTCATGAAATGACCTAATCTGATTTATCCCAAGTACTGGCCAGAAGCAAGGACTGAGGTGTAGCCGTCAGCCTGTGAAAGCCCTGGAGAAGGTTCCAGGGGAATGGGGGGGAAGGTTCCCAAATAACTGCTGTGTATTTATCACTCTGAGGATGGGGGGCATAGGGGCTTTGGGAAATGAATGCTTTTGAATGTGTACATGTGCGCCCCGGGCCTCAGACAGAGCATCGCGCTGGTCCTTTGAGGGGTGGTCTGGACAAGAGAGAGCTGGCGGGGAGGCTTCCAATAAATTGACCATGTTTTTCAGATGTGTGTCTTTGGACTTGGGCTCCTCATTCTGTGCTGGATAAAAGATAGTTTTCTGTGCTGTTCCTTATCTCCCATCTACACTTGGGGTAGACTCATTCATTCATTCATTCATTTCCCAAACCTTTCTTACATGACTGTTCTATGCCTGGCACTGTGCTGGGCCTGGTCTCAAGGGGCTTATAGTCAGGTAAGGAAGATAAACACGGGCATCAGTAGGATAGGAATAAAGGTGAGAAGTATGAGCCATATGAAGATTCAGGGGGAGCAAGTATGCCTCCTGCCAGGAGGTGGATGAGAGGCTTCCTGGACAAGGTAGCGTCCTGGGCCTCTGAGGAAAAATCAACTGGCATTTAGTAACCTGTATGCCAGGTGCTTGGGGTAAGGAGAAAGGAAGACTGTCCCACCCTTCCAGGGAAGATACCACCTATCCCCAGGTAAGTAGAGAAGTCACGGTGGGGAGGCCATCTCAGCGTTAGGGGAGGATGGCCCAAGTAGAAAGAACGTGTGAGACAGGTTGACCTTGCCCAAGGTCACAGGCATGCTGCCTCCCACACTAGGTCAGACTGCTTCCTCCTCTCCTGCCCAGCTGGCTGAATAAGAGGACAGAAGGATCACCAGTAATCCATGGAACCAGTGACTGATGTCCACCAGCAAGGCTAAAACACTTTTGGTCAAACTTGGAATGCTAGATTGCAGTCAGAGAAGACAAAAATTACATGTGGTTCAGACTTCACACTCCAACGAGGACTGCCCTGTGTGGGAAGGCATCTCTTCACTGCCTGGATCTGAGTTATTTTGCCTTTTGTCATTTCAGGAGTAATGGGTCACTTGAGGGTTGCTTTGGAAGGGGCCATATGTCTAGAAGGGCTCGTCGAAATTCTCCCCAAAGGAGCCGTGGGCACCAGGAGAAACATCTCTTCGTCTGAATACGGCTGCCGCCTCTGCTGGGAGACCCCCAGGCTTGCCTCTTCTCCGTGTGGTACCTACTGGGCTTCTCAAGCATCTGCTTACCCACCACCATTGCCATGGCTCCTTCACCTTGTCTTGAGTACCAGGAGGGGCTGGCACCCTCCCTGTCTTCTTCCATGTTACGCCCATGCCCTCCCGTTAGGAGAAAGTCATGCCACCCAGGAATGTCCTGGGGCAGCATCCAGTGTCCAACTCTAACATCAGGGGAATGGGCACAGAGCCAGGTTTAGATCAGGAATAGTTCTCCTCCAAGTGATTGTCGATGATTATAGTCTTTCTTAGGTAGAGCAGTTGAGGTTTTGTTCCTCAGGAATTTGGGCCTGGGTGAGTACAAACCATCGGGCTCTCGAGAGTATTACTCAAAAGACCTGCAGCTGTGGTCTCAGTGGCACCACTAGCCATCTGGGTGCCCCTGGACGTGTTAATTCTACCTGCCGAGGAGAATGCTGTTTGTCACTGAAGGACAGGGCAGCTAGGTGGCATAGTGGATAGAGCACCGGCCCTGAAGTCAGGAGGACCCGAGTTCAAATCTGGCCTCAGACCAAACACTTGACACTTACTAGCTGTGGGACCCTGGGCAAGTCACTTAACCCCAATTGCAAAAAAAAAAAAAAGGAGATATGTAGCTGGAGGACCAGGGTTCTAACCCTCCCTTCCTATCGACCACCCGTGTGACCTTGGACAAACCCCTGCCCTGGACTCTCTGGGCCTGTGTCCTTATGTTTCAAATGAAGATGGACAAGATGATGCCTAAGGCCACCGGCAGCTCAACCTTTGGTTCTGGGGGACAATAGAGAGTCTTCATAAGTGTGTGGGAAGCAGCGACAAACCTAAAAGGCTGAGAGGATGCCATGGGGTTGGCAAATCCCTGAGAACAGATGCTGTAATCAGCACACTGGCTGACACTGGCGAGCCAATGACTTCACCCAGGAAATCAGAACTCGTCTGCCATCTTGAGACGCACATTTTGGAAAGATCCTTGGAAGTCTGAAGGGAGACTCCTAAGGTTAGGCCTCTCCTTCTGCAAAGCTGTCCCAGAAAAAAGTAATATACCTTTAGAGCCACCAATGAGGTGACCTTAAGCTTTAGGGTTGAGGCAGCTAGGTGGTGCCACAGTGCACAAAGCACTAGACCCAGGGGAAGACCTGGGTTCAAATGTGGCCTCAGACACTAGCTGTGTGACCCTGGGCAGGTCATTTCCCCTCTGCCTCAATTTCCTCATCTGTTTTTTGTTTGGTTTTTTTTGGCTAGGCAGTGGGGTTAAGTGACTTGCCCAGGGTCACACAGCTAGTAAGTGTTATGTGTCTGAGGCCGGATTTGAACTCAGGTCCTCCTGCCCCCAGGGCCGGTGCTCTGTTCACTTTGCAACCTAGCTGCCCCAATTTTATATTTTATTTATAAATTTATCCTACTATGGTAGAGATCTAGGTTTTGAAATTTTTCCTTTTCAGCCCTAAATCTGCAACACCCACCCATGGCTGCTATGTCTCCCCTCCAGGGCTATGCAGAAGAAGCCAATTTTTTCTTCCACGGGGCTTTGTGAATACTTAAGGACAGTGATCACATCCTCCTGTAAATTTTCTCCAGGCTGAACACCCCTAATTCCTTCAACTAAACTTCATGTGGCCCAGCTTTGAGGCCCTTCCCGTGAGGTGGTCTTGGCCACCCTCTTCTAGAGGTCAGCAAATACCTGTTGATCACCCCATTGCTTAGCACAAGGCCTGGCACACAGTAGGTGCTTAATAAATGCTTGTTGACCTGACAAACCACTTTGTCACTGCCCTTATAGTTGTCTGGCCAATGAATATCCGTTTCTATTTCACACTCTTGAATAACACATTTGCCATTTTTTTCTTGTTTTATTGAAAAAGATTCTATTACACTATGTTTACAGAAGCTTGGTGTTACCCTAAGAAACATTCATCTTTAACAACAATTAAAATATCATCGGTGATCTGGGCCACATCACAGAAAGAGTCTCACACGGCTTGTGCAACATGGGGCACTCTGCCCACTTTCTGGACATCTGGAGAGCTAGAAAGGACCCCAAAGGTGGTGCCCTCCAATTTGCTGCCTCCAGGCAGGCCTCAGACCAAATCGCTCCCAGCAGAAGCACAGCTGCCTTATGAGCCCAACCCAGGATGAGTTCCAAAATGGTCCAGCCACAAGAAAGAGTTCGAGGAAGGGAGAGGAACTGGCATCTCACTGGATAAGCTTTCATCCCTTTTCTTTTCTTTCACTTTCAGCTTATCTTGTGATCAATGACTCCTCTTCATTTCTCATTGACCCTGACTCCCTCCAACTCGGGGCCCCTAGCTCAAAACTCTCTGCAGAATGGGTTACATGAAAAAGCAGGGAGGGAAACCATAACATCACTGAAGACACAAGGCAAACAAAACATGGCAGGTGGTTGGTGCGTCAGCCGCCTACCTCTTTGCCATTTGTAAAGCCACACACATCGTGGTTGGGTCCGAGTCTTAAAATCTGACAGAAAGTCTCCGCTGGTTGGCCCCATGCCAACCAGCCTTCAACTGAACGTCTTTAAAAATGGCCCACCCTTGGATTCATCAGGGAGGAAGTGCTCTGAATCAATACTGCACAGTTGGGCTTTTGTTTTTAAAAGGTGGGCTACAGCTCACAAAACACTAGATGCTTCACAGTATGCAAAGTACGGTTCAAAAAAGCCAAGGTCACAGGGGACAAAGAAATAAGTCTGGAATTTGATTCACTTATAATCTGTGTTAGAGGCGATTCGGGGGCCGGTCACTCAAGGAGCCAGGGGCTCAGCTCACAGGATGTGGTCTTGATTGGTAGCAATAAATATAAATAAATTTACAAAGAGTAATACTGCCTAGTACAGCCCAGGGGATCTAGTCTACGGAAATCTAGGGAACATCTTATCTTCTCTAAGGAAGACAGGAAACGGGCCAACTCCCAGTGGAGATCCATTTCAGAATTCTCCAGCTCTCCATCCCACCACCATCTCACAACTGGTCCCCCAGGCTTGGGCTCCATCCATCAGAGCCTTCCTGGGGTGGTTCCACCCAGGGCTCATCGGGCTTCTTAGAAGAATAAATTAAGAGTGTCCACAGGCAGGGAAGAGTCTGGGGCTGACGATGGAGCGCCAAATGATGGAGGTGCTGGAGATCCCAGGGTCCCACAATCAGACTGGCCTTTTCCTAGAATGGAGTCAGGCCAGGGATCATGAATGAACCTGGGACCCTGCACTGTTTGTCCACAGATCCATTGGAACAGTTTAACCCGGGGTGGAAACAAAGTGGCTTGTCCAGTGATGTGACGGTAGTGGTTACTAATAGTCCCTCAGGACACACTTAGGAGACATTCTATGCAAAGGGTCTGTGGGTGTATAGAGGCGTAGTGGGCTTGTCTCCCTCTCAACAACAGCTCCACACCTTCCTAAGGGCCACGCTGATGGCAAGAGAGGCCCATTGGGGGGTGGGGTATGCCTGCGGTCAGAGCTCTGGGGTCCGCCCCGCATTTCCCCTAAGCACCAGAGGCTCCCCCATGTCACCTCCAAGGACAGACCCTCCCCACCCGAGGCCAAAGAGCCACAGCCCACTCAGAGCAGGGCAATGGGCTTATTGCCTGGGGTGCCCAGGTACTGGGCAGAGGAGGATGACGCGCTGTCCCCTGAAGTCGCATAGGTGGTGTACAGGCTGGTGACCTGTAAGTCTGAGAAGGACTGGTCACTGCCGCTGGAGACGGGGGTGAGTCCCGAGGCACCCAGGTCACAGTCCGACAGCTGCAGGGGGGAGTTGCTGAAGGCCCCGAGGGTGTCCAGGCTAAAGCTGTCATCCTTCATGTCGTCCCAGATGTTCCCTTTCAGAGCAAGCAGAAGCACGTCATCCCTGGTGCCCCCCTAGCTCCCCTGCAGAGCCACGGGGCAGGGGCAGCGGACAAGGGCAAGGCCCTTCTGAGAGGAGGGAACTGACCGGGGCTTGGCCAAAGCCACTTGGGGCAGCTTGGGTCTGTAACTGGGTACCACTGGGTGACCCTCATCACTCTCCCCTGAACACCTGACGACCACCACCGTCATCTCCTTATAGAACAGGGCAGGGCTCCTACATTCACAGGACCTAGGACTGACCACAAGGGACCTTAGACATCACCCCTCATTACAAGGGACTTGTCCAAGGTCACACCACTAACAAGTCACAGACTCAAGATTAAAACCTGGCTTCTGTCTCCAAACCCAACAGTCTGTCCAGCAGCCTGACCTCAGTCTAAACAAACCCTGGGGAACCATGGGGTGAGAAGCAGAACCCTGGGGGCCGGGGCTGGTCCCATTTTCAGAGGTAGAGAGAACTTCAGATATGCCCCAACTGCTCCCCGTATCCATAAACCAGACCTTCAGTGCTCGGCGGCCCAGCACCACTAACGTGGGCTGCTGTGACCTGCTTCTCATCCCCCAGTCACTAAGAACCCTCCCAGTTCTGACATTCTGTGTTCTAACACCCCTGGCTCTTCAAACAACACCCTCTCGTCTCCTGCCTGGAGGTGATGCTCCTGAGCTGGGGGGACGAGCATCGTGCCCCAAATTCTCCCTTTGGCTGTGGCCTTGGGCTGACGCAGCTTCACCTGCCGTCCCTGGTCCCACACCCCTTATGACTAATGCCTCAGTGCTCAGTCTGTGCGGCCTTGGGTCGACTTCACAGAGGAGGCCGAATGACCACGGAAGGTGGTCCTGCTCTCCAGGGAGCGGGCAGGCTACATCCTCAGACCCAGATCCATAGTCAGAAGACCTAGATTTTAATCCCAGCTCGGCCACGCATAGATTGAGCCAGTCACTTGACCTCTCTGGACCTGAGTTTCCCCAGCACAGAATGAAAGGGTCGGTCCCTTCTAGGATCCCTGACCCCATGACCAGGTGACCCCTGAGGTCCCTCCCCTCTCTGGACCAAGCATCACTCCATTCTCCAGCCCCCACCCCCACTCGCTCACCCTGGAGGGCAAAGTCCATGATGCTGGGATCCAGAGCATCCACCTCGGCGCTCACGTCGCCCACAACGCTGAGAAAGTCCACAGGGCCCCTGCTCACAGCGTGGTGGGTGGGGAGGGGGCTACAGCTCACATCGGGCAGGGCGTGCAGTGGAGGGGTCTGGGCTGGTGCTGGGGAGCCCGGGGCCAGGCCAGCGCGAGGCTGCAGCTGGTGCTGCAGGGGGATGGACTGCAGCGAGAGGGTCATCACCGGCTGGGGAGGGAGGCGGGATGCGGTGAGCCGGCCTTGGGCAGCCGCAGCAGCCGCCACCACTCGGCCCAGCACGGGGACGTCCGGCTCCCCAGGCTCCCCCAGGCGGCGGCAGCTCTCCGGCCGGTCACTGATCAGCTTGTCCAGCTCTTCTGCAAGGGATGGAGAGCGAGCGAGATCAGTGCCCGGCCCACTAGGGCCAGGAGAGGTATCTGAGCAAGGGCGGGGTGTGGAAAGACCCCAGAATTCGGACAAACGCAGATCAAGGCTTGGCTGGCCAGGCTACCTTGGACAAGGCCCTTCTCTCCCTGGCCCCCTTCTTCTCAATCTCCCCCCCCATAAAACGAGGGATTTGGAGCAGATAACCTACAAGGTTCCCTCTGAAATTAACCTGGGAGAGAAAACAGATTTTTGTGAAACGGAAACAAAATGAAACATCATAAAATCGTTGCATTAATGTTCATTGGCTCCTCCCTGCAGGCCTATGAGGCGGGTCCTGGAGCTTTCTGTCCTCTGCCCTCTGACATATGGGGAAACCGAGGCTCAGCGAAGCAGGCGGCCTTACCCGGGTTGGCCATGCTGCGATGAATGGCGGCCAGGTCCTTCCTCTTCCATTTGTGCATCTCCTCCTCCATCTTGTCGATGCGCGCCAGGTTCAGGGCCCACAGGCAGCCCTTGCGGGAGGAGCCCCCCGTCTTGTTCTCCACCTTCTCGAAGCATTTGCTCAAGGACAAGTTGTGCCGCACAGAGTTCTTCCAGCCGTCAGGGGCGGTCTGTGGGGAAGGAGATCACAGGGCGAGGCCCAGAGCCCCAGGCTGCCCACCTGCCGCGGGGACCCCCTCCCTCCCAGGACTGGCCCTCATCTGCGGGCCCTACGGCCTTCCCGAACTGGGGGTCTGCCTGCCTCAGTCTCCCCCCACCAGTCTGGCCTCCTTCCTACAGCACAAATCTGGCCACAAGACGTCCACACTCGGGCCTCCCCTGTGCTGGGATGCTCCCCCTCCTCTGCCTGCTGACCCCGGGCCTCCTGCAAGCCCCTGCCCAAAGCCCATCTTCCGCGGGAGGCCCTTCTTGGTCCCCCTCAATGCTCGCGCCTTGGATTCTCCCCAGTCTCTCCCATCTAGACAAGGTGTCTGCACGTTGCCTCTCACGCTGGAGGGCAGGAACTGGGCTTTTGATTTATTTTGGCCTTTCTTTGTGCGCCCATCACTTAGCGTGGTTCAGGGAACATAGCAGGTGCTTAATAAACACTTGCTGACTCAGTCCCCCCAAACCTCAGCGTGGAGGGGGTGGGTGGGGCCAAGGCCAGGCTGGACAGCTCCCCGGCCCACACTGGACGGCTGCTGGCCACACGCGGAGGCCACAGCTCAGGTCCACGCGGCTCGGGCTCTACTCCTCACCTTGAAGTAGGGAAAGTGTTCCTTCATGAAGCTGTAGATCTCGCTGACCGGGAGGCTGCCCGTCTTGCTGTTTTTCAAGGCCATGGCGATCAGGCAGCTGAAGGAGGACACGCCCCACAGTCAGAAGGCCTCTGGTCTGAGGCTGGGGCCTGCAGTGTTCCCCCAGGGGAGCCGGGGAGCGTCTGTAGGGAGGAGGGATTGGGGGAGGGGGGACGCTGCTGGCACAAGCCAGTGACGTTGTGGGGGAGGGGTTGGTGCGGCCCAGGTGTAGAGAGCCAGCCCCCAAAGCCAGGAAGACCTGGGTTCAAATCCTGCCTCTGACACATCCCGGCCAGGTGACCCAGGCGACTCTAAAGCGATGTCGGCCTTGGGCATTTTACTAGCTGTGTGACCCTGGGTGAGTCATTTCACCTCTGCCTCATATTCTCAAAAAATACTAACGTGCAGCACATACTTCGCTGGGCTGTTGTGAAGATCACGTGTAAAAAGGTGCTTGGCACAGTGCCGAGCATGTAGTAGGCGCCACGTGAGTGCTTATTCCTTCCTTCCTCCAGGACGCCCGCCCTCCCTCAGCTTTCCCTGCACCCCTTTCCAGGGCCAGAGGCCTAGTTCACTGGGGGCTGCAGCTGAGCCCCACCATGGGCAGGGGAGCACTTTGGGGGATTTCTTTCTTGGTCACGGGTTAGGCTGGGCGGCCTGGGAAGCTCCCACCTGGCTGCCCTCCCAAGGCTTACCTTCTACAGAGTTCTCATGAGAACCGTGTCCCCGCCCCTCAACCAGCCCCCCCCCCACCCTCCTCTTCAGGATCACGGGTGCCACACTGGGAGGCCAGTGAGTCCAACCCCTCATTTTTACAGGAGAGGAAAACGAGGCCCAGAGAGGCTGGTTCCACCAACATCACACAGGCAGTTCAACGTCAGAATCGGGATTTGAACTCAGGTCTTTGGACTGCAGTGTAATTTCCAGTCCTCCACTAACAATGCCCCTCCGCCTCCTGGATGAGAACACACACCCAATCATTGTGGGGGGAGGGCAGAGTAGGGAGCTGGGGGGGCCCAAATCAAGCCGAGTCCCTGGGGGCTGAGGGGCTAAGGGGCAGAGGAGAGAAGGGAGCCCCTCAGCAGGGGGGCACTCACCTGTAGGAGTAGATGGGTTTGGGGTAGTGTTTGGGGTGCAGGTCCTGAGCCGAGTGCCCGGGGAGGCGGGGCTGGGGGAATGGAGGCTGTGCCCCGAAGGAGACGCTGTACATTCCAGCAGTGGGGCACTGATCATAGGAGAGAGAGAGAGGGAGGGAGTGAGAAAGACAGAGAAAAGGACAGAAAGGGGGGTGGCGGCAGAGAAGAAACAGACAAAGGGAAGGAATAGCAAAGAGACAGAGAGGGAGGGAGACAGAGACAGAGAGAGACAGACAGGGAGAGAGTGAGAGAGAGAGAAAGAGAGAAAGAGAAAGAGACAGAGAGAGAGAGAGAAAGAGAGAGAAAGAGAGAGAGAGAGAGAGAGAGAGAGAAAGACAGAGAGAGAGAGAAAGACAGACAGAGAGAGAGAGAGAAAGACAGAGAGAGAGAGAGAGAGAGAGAGAGAGAGAGAGAGAGAGAGAGAGAGAGAGGAGAGAGAGAGAGAGGGAGAGGGAGAGAGGGAGAGGGAGAGAGGGAGGGAGAAACAGACACAGAATCCAACTGATGATTGTTAAGGGCCGATTACCAGCTAGCACCTGGGGAGGCAAAGACAAAAAGCCAACCAGCGCCTGCCCTCGAGAGGCTTCTAGACCACTGAGAGGAAGCCCCAGGCAAGTAGGCAGGCAGTCAGGAGAGGCTTCCTGGAGGAGGTGGCCCCAGAGCAGAGCCTTAAAGGAAAACGAGATACAGACAGACGGAGGAAGCAGGGGATTCAGCCGGCAGCAGGCTAAGTGGGCGTTCAGGGCTCTTGTCTGGCCTCGGCTCCCCCTCGGCCCTCTGCTCCCCCGGCTGCCAGTGGGGAGCCGGGAGTCCTAACTCACCAGCAGCTTTACACAAGGGCAGTGACCTGGGATCTGCTTCTTAGGAACCAGCTCCCTGGGCCCCTGCAGAGGCCCTGAGCCTCCTTCCTGTACCTGATGTGTGCCCTGGGCCAGAGTGAATGGCGGCTGTGACGGGGCCGGGTAGAGCTGGGGCTGGTCCTGCAGGCTGGGGGAGGGCTGGCCCCCTACAGGGTATGGGCTCATCTGCGAGTGAAAGGAGGAAGAAGAGACCGTGGGTCAGGGTGGAGGCCAGGACCCCATCCCCTGCCCTGCCCTCCTTGGCTGCACTTACACTGGCTCCATGGGACCCGATGCCGCTGAGCCCCAGCATGCCCTGGGGGGGCACGTGGCCGATGGTGCCCGAGGCACCCGCTGCAAGCACGCTGGCTGCCATGGGACCTGGGGCAGGGGCGAAGCAGAGAAAGACAACCGGCCACTGGCGGGAGGGCCCCGGGCGCCAGCCCGGCACGGCGGGGCAGCGACATCCACCAAGGCTCTCTGGGAGCGCTCCTTGGCAGATGCATCCCGCGGGGTCTGGGAGCCAAGGCCTTTCCCCAGCACGAGCTGCCAGGCCGTGCTGACCCAGCCGTCTCTGCCTCTGGCTCTGCTCCTCACCCTGCAGCGGCACCTCCCCTGGGCCCTGACCTTCAAGGCCGTCCCTGGCCTGCCTTGGCACCCAGAGGGCCCTGGCAAACCTTCACTTCCCGCCATGCTGGCTCTCCGCGGCCACAGACACCAAGCACGCTCCTACCCCCGCGCCGGCGCTCGTGAAGTTCCACCCCCTGGTTCCCGAGCGCAGGACCAGGGATGGAGGCTTGTGGACGGGACCTCCGAGGCTGGAGAATCCAACCACCCCATGTCACAGATCAAGCAGCTGAGGCCCTGGGAGGTTCAGTGACTTTCCCTAGGTCACACAGGTCATATTGGGGTCACAGATCCAGAGTAAGATGTCCTGGCCCCCTTGGATGGTATGTTGGAAGCCTCTGGACCTCTGCAGAATTATGTTTTTAAATAAATGAAGGAAATGCTAAATGTTGGTCACAATAAAGATGCTATTTTTTTTCCCCATCCAAGTTCACGGAGCCCCTGAAATCTATGAACAAGCCCCTTGGTAATCTGTGAACCTTAGACTGGGATCCCTGATACAGAGCGTCAAGGGACCTGAGAGGTCAGCTAATTAAACCCACCCATTTTATAGATGAGGAAACTGAGGTCCACAGGGCGGAAGGGACATACACCAGAAGATGGACCGCTGATTTCAGAGCCAGGACTAGTTCTTCTGCCCCCCTCAAGCCCCAGCTCTTCCACTGCCTGAATCCCAACACCCCCAACTGTCACCATCGCTTTCATCTGCTTTTATCAGGATGCCCTTGTGTTGGGAGGGAGCCCTTTGTCCTTGCTCATGGCCTAGCAAAGGGCTCCGGTTCTGAACCCTCACTTTGCCTCTGTCTCGGCTGTGTGACCTTAGGTCAGTCACCTGCCCTGCCAAGCCATCTGTAAAAGGTGGGGGCAGGCCAGGTCTCCAAGGACCCCGTGAGCTCCAACATTCCACATTCTGGGTCTCAGAGCAGCTGGCTGGTGCAGAGAGATGGTCACATGCGGTAGGGTGCAGGAAATGTTTGTTGGTCGTGACAGAGTCCCCCCAGGTCCCCCTGCAGGAGTTCTATTCCTGGGGGGATGCTGGGCATCTGGGGGCTTTGGAGCCGCCTGGTTGCCGGGGTCACCAGGTTTGGGGGAAGGAGACCAGGGCACGGCAGAGCACCGGGATGCCCTGCGGGAGAGCGGGCTACCTGTCTGCTGCAGCCCCGCGTTGGGGGCGCTGAAGTCCATTCGGCTGCTGGTCATCTGCTGCAGCCGGGGCACGTCCACTGCCGTCAGCCAGGAGAGAGATTGCAGGTCGCTGGGCAGATCATCCTCAGCCGCCTGGGAGGAGTCTGAGGCTAGGAGCCTGCCGGGGGCCGAGAAAACAGAGAGTGGGAAGGCCGTGGGGATGGAGGGCGGGGCAGGCAGGGCAACGGGGGCTGTCTGCCAGGTCACCCCCAAACACTGCCGGGATGGGGCACGGCATGGAATAAAAACTGGACACCAACTCAGAGCATGGGTCTGCAGGGATGGGCTCCCAGAAAGCTCTGGACCGGCCTTAGGAGACCTGAGCTCTGGCCCAGGGCTGACTCAGGGACATCAGTGTGAATCCTGCCTTGGGTACTTACTCGCTGTGCGACTCTGGGCAAGTCATGGAACCGTTTTCAGCCTCAGTTTCCTCATCTGTAAAATGGGGATAATAACAGTACCTGCCTCAAACCCAATAAAATATGTCCAGGGCTTTGCCAACCTTCAAGCACTATGTAAATGCAGGCTATTATTATAACAATCCCTGACAATCCCTGTTCTAAGTTACCTCTCAACTATATCAGAACAGGAAGGGATCTTGGAACACAGAATGTCAGAACTGGGAGGGGTCTTAGGACATAGAATATGAAACCATTTCATTCTACTGCCTCATTTTAACACATGGGGAAACTGAGGCCCAGTGGGGTGAAGGTCGCACACAGTTAGCAGCAGGACCAGGATTAGAACTGATTTACAGATCAGTTTCCTTCCCGTCGCAGTCAGGCTTCCCCAATCCCCCCACCCACTGGGAAAGCCGTGCAGAGAATTCTTCTGGTACAGGTTGATCATGGCAGCCTCTAGGGTCTGACATCATGGTATTTCTTAACCTGGGGTCTATGGGCTTGTTTTTTAAAGCTCTATTTTGTCACCATAGTTCAACATCTTTGGCTTCCTTTGGAAGGAATCCTGTGTATTTTCTTTTATGCATTTACAAACATAAATCTGAGGTTTCCTGGGCTTCCCCAGCCCGGCTACCCACGGGTCCAGGACCCCAAAAGGTGAAGCCCCTGAGGGCTCAATCAGAGCAGTGCAGCCCCTGAGAAAGCACTGGGTTTGCAGCCTGAGATCCCAAGTTCCAATCTGGCTCTGCTACTCCCCACCCAGGTTACCTGGGTCTGAATTTCCTCATCTGTGAAATGGGGACATTGGACAAAGCCTCTGGGGTCCCTTCTACCTCTATGGGCACCATAACTGACCTCAACATCTCAGACCCAAATACTCGATGTGCCACATACAGGCGGGTGTGGGTGGTGGTTGGGGGACTTTGGGAAATGAGGGGCCAGTGAGGTGGGGCAGAGCCTGGAGTCAGGGAGACCTGAGCTCAAATTAGGCCTCAGACACTTAATGTATGACCCTGGGCAAATCACTTAACCTCTACTGCCTCAGTTTCCTCAATTGGGAAGGGGAAAGGGTTGGGAGCAAGCCTTTCTTAAGCATCTACTATGTGCTGGGTACTGTGCTGAGGGCTTTATACATATTATCATATATCTGTAATAATAGCACAAACCTCAGAGGTTTGCTGGGATGCTCACACAAAAGGATATCTGTGAAGTGCTCTGCAGACCTTAAAGCACCAGACACTCAGCTGGTGGGCAGCTAGCTCTAGTATTACGATGTCATGAATATGACATAATAGATATTAATATTATTATTCAACAGCGGTACTATGGGCCTCTCTCCAATGGAGAGCAGAAGGGGAAAAGGGAGGGGGAAAGAGGGACAGAGGGCAGGGGTGCAGGGACAAGCAAAGGGAAGAGAGAGACGAGAGAGAGATGAGAGATGGGAGAGACAGGAGGGGGGCAGGGCAGGCGAGGAAGCCGAGGGCCCCAGGGAAGGCAGGGGTGGGTGGGTGGGTGTGTGTGTGTCAGGCCCCAGCTAGCCCCCCTCTCCAACACAGCTGCCAGGCCTTCTCTCTCCCTTTCTCCCTCCTTCTCTCTCTCTCCCTCCTTCTCCACTTGTGTGTGTCTATCTCTCTGTCTCCTTTCTTTTCTGTCTCTTTATCTCTCCTCTTTTCTCTCTCAATCATTCTCTCCATCTCTCCCTGTCTTCTTTCCCTTCTCTCTCTCTCTCCCTCTCTCTCTTCTTTTTCTGTCTCTCTTGTCTCCCTTTTTCTCTATATCTCTGCCTCTCTCTCTCCTCTCTCTCCCTCCCTTCCTCTCTCTCTCCTCTCTTTCTCCCTCCCTTCTTCTCTCTCTTTCTCTCTCCTCTCTCTCTCTCTCCCTCCATTCTTCTTCTCTCTCTCTTCTCTTCTGCCTGTCTCTCTCCCTCCCTTTTTCTCTGTCTCTGTCTCTCTCCTCTCTCCCTCCCTCCCTTCTTCCTCTCTCTCTCTCTCTCTCTCTCTCTCTCTCTCTCTCTCTCTCTCTCTCTCTCTCTCTCTCTCTCTTTTCTGCCTGTCTCTCTCTCTCCCTCTCTTCTTCTCTCTCCTCTCTCTCTCTCTCTCTCTCTCTCTCCTCTCTCTCTCTCCCTCTCTTCTGCCTGTCTCACTCTCCCTCCCTTTTTCTCTCTGTCTCTCTCTCTACTGTAGTTTTTGGGACCATAATTAGTGTTGTCATGGCAACCCCAGTTCAGTCATTTGGTCCAGGCTAAAGCTTGCGATCCCAGGAAAGGGGGCATCAGGTGACCATCCCCCCCCCTGCCCAGGGATTGGCTGGATCAAATGTAAACAGGAGCCCAAAGTGTTTGAAAAGCGGGCAGGCGGGCCCTGGTGGCCCCCACGACAGTTGGCCCCGGCTGGCGTCGGCCGCCTCTCCATTGTGCTGGGAGCGACTGCTGCCCCCCACGGCACGTGGCCCCCATTGTCCCAGAGTCTCCTGCCTAACTGTTTCTGACCCCGACCCCCCTCCCTGCCTCGACCCAACTCCAGATTAATCTGGCTGACTGACAGCGAGCATGCCCCCAGCCCCCAGAACCATCTGGCTCCCTGCTCCCTGCCGGGGCCCTTCCAGACGGGCCTGACCGCCCCCACCCCGATCCCCAGGGTCAGGTGGGCGGCGGGGTCACCCAGGGCTCAGTGCACACGCCTCCCATCAGGGCACAGGGCATCCCGGGCTCCTCCCCTTGGAGCCGAGGCCAAAGCGTGTGTGTGCGTGTGTGTGTGTGTGTGTGTGCGTGTGTGCGCACACATGTGTGATACATGCACTGTGTCGTGTGTGTGGTATGTGCACCTGTGTGTACACGTGTGTATACATGCAGGTGTGTGGTATGTGCACACCGATGTGCGCAGTGGGTGTACATGTATGCACACACGCATGTGTGTGGTGTATATACTTCTACGTGTGCTTCTGTGTATTTGTGTCTAAGTATGTATGGCATGTGTGTGTGTGCATTCATGTATGTGGTGTGTATAGGTGTGCATCAGTGTGTACCTGAGCGTGTGTGTGCAGTGGGTATACATGTGTGCATGCGTGAGATGGGGAAAGCTGAGGCCCCGGGGGCAGAGTGATGGCCAGGTGCTGCTCTGGGGGAGAGGCCCGAAGTTTGTGGGGTGTCACATCCCAGTTCTGCTCTTGGCCCAGAAGGACAGGCGAGTCACTAAACCCCTGGGGAAAAGGCCAAGATCTGGAGCCAGGGAACCTGGGTTCAAGTCCTGGTCCTGCCTTGGGCAAGCCTGTTCATCTCCACTGGCCTCAGTTTCCCTGCATGTAAAATGAGGGGCCTGGCCTCGAGGCCCCGGGGCCTTCCATGGCGCTGCTGACCACACGCAAAGGCTTTCCCAGACAAGCTCTCGCTGAATCCTCTCAGGAGCCCTGGGAGGTGGACAGAGCAGGGGGCATCGTCCACATTTTACAGATGGGAAACTGAGGCTTACAGAGGCAGTGTGGTCTACTGAAAGGAGGGGGAAAGAAAGGGAATAAGCATTTATATAGCACCTACTGTGTGCCCAGTGCTGTGCTAAGCACTTCTTACAAATATCTCATTTGGCCCTCATGACAACTCTGGGAGATGGGTGCTATTATCATCCCCATTTCACAACTGAGGAAACTGAGGCAGATGGGGATAAAGGAACTAATCTCCCAAAGTCACACAGCTAGTGTCTGAGGCTGAATTGAGTTCAGGTCTTACTGAGGCCAGTCCCAGGGCCACCTAAGCTTGGATACACAGCCCAGCAGGATCTCAGAGCAGTGACTGAAGAGGATGGCGCGGGGGAAAGGAGTCTGGGCCACACTAAGACCTGGGTTCAAGTTCTGACTTTGCCAGGACTAGAGGGGACCTTGAGTGGGTCACTCAACCCCTTGGGGATGTTCAGTTACCTCTAAAACAAGCACTTTGGATCAGATGATCTCTAAGGCCCCTCCTACCTCTGACATCCCCTGTTCTAAGGCCCCTCCTACCTCTGACATCCCCTGTTCTAAGGCCCCTCCTACCTCTGACATCCCCTGTTCTAAGACCCCTCCCAGCTCTGACATTCCCTGTTCTAAGGCCCCTCCTACCTCTGACATCCCCTGTTCTAAGACCCCTCCCAGCTCTGACATTCCCTGTTCTAACGCCCCTCCTACCTCTGACATCCCCTGTTCTAAGACCCCTCCCAGCTCTGATATTCCCTGTTCTAACGCCCCTCCCACCTCTGACATCCCCTGTTCTAAGACCCCTCCCAGCTCTGACATTCCCTGTTCTAAGGCCCCTCCTACCTCTGACATCCCCTGTTCTAAGACGCCTCCCAGATCTGACATTCCCTGTTCTGAGGCCCCTCCCAGCTCTGACATTCCCTGTTCTGAGGCCCTCCCAGCCCTGACATTCCCTGTTCTAAGGCCCGTCCCAGCCTCTGACATCCCCTGTTCTAAGGCCCCTCCCAGCTCTGACATTCCCTGTTCTGAGGGCCCTCCTACTTCCAACTCTATGAATCTCTGCCCCCTACCCAATCCTTGGGGAGGTGCTGTCACTTAGCCTACCAAAGCCATCCCAAGCCTGATCGATCACCTGCTTCTCATTATTCCCTCCCTGGCCTCCACAGATCACACTCCCTCACCCCTACTCAGAGCAGGACTGAGCCATCCTGAGCAGCGCGTGACAGCTCCCCTAGCCCACTCTCTCTAATCTTCAGAAAACCATTTATCTAGA